ACCTGATTTTTGACAACAGTAACACTGTAATTCCGTGAATAGTCACTTGAAAATATGTATTTTGACTCTTTTCTCACATCATCAACAAAAAAATCAGCTCTGGATGGATCAAATATTAATCATGACATGTAAAACAATAAAATATTTGCTACCTGCTTATACTCACTAACCTGTGTCTTACATTTTTCCCTAAATTATTCTTTCTAGCTTTCCTCTTAACTCAGGCAAATGAAACCCAAAGCAATGCCCAGGTGATGGCAACTGCCCTGACAAGACCTCCAGCCAGCCTAAACCAACCCAGACCACTTGAACTAAACCTGCCTTGTGCCTCCACAGATCTCTGGAATGACCTACAATCATCCTTACCTTATTTTAGTACTAAAATCTTCACCCAAGGAGGAGCCTCAGCCTCATTTACATAACATACAATATGTGTCTACACCTGTTTCCTTAAGGCATATGCACGACCTTAGGCCCGCCTCTACATACCATGACAGGGATTCCCTCTCTAAATATTCATCCTAACCTTAAACAAAAGGAGCCCATTCACCCTCTCTGTAAAGGGTTGTCCAGGGCGGGCTGGGGTAGTCACAGCTTTGGAACCTTCCCCATGATCTCCTTATTTGCTGCAAAAAAAGTTTCCTTTGTGCGAAACTCAAACTGGTACAGTTTCTGACTCACCAAGGAGTGAACTGACCTTTTGGTTATAACATGGTTAGTACAATGAAAAGGCAACACATGAAATGGAAGAAGATATTCACTCTTCTTCTACATATTTTTAAAGATTTTATTTATTTATTTGAGAGAGTGAGCATGAGCTGGAGGGAGAAAGAATCTGAAGGAGACTCTGAGATCCTGCCCTGAGCCAAAACCAAGAGCCCACCAGCTGCTGAACTGACTGAGCCACACAAGCATCCTTCACTCTTCCTATATTTAACAAAAGATACATACTCTGAATAAAAAACTCCTACAAATCAGTAAGAAAAATCTGACAACACAGTAGATAATGGGTCAAGGAGTGACCAGACACATCCCCAAAAAGAATCTAAACATTTGAATTGGTGTTAAACTTTCCTAGAAATGCACATTGAAGCCTCAAGGAGAACCGCTATATACCTGCCAGAATGGCTAATGTAAAAAAGTCAGAAAATAACAAATATTTTGAGAACAGCAGAATAACCAAAACTCTCATGCTCTGCTGATGAGAATGTAAATTGGCACAGTCACACTGCAACACTCTTCTGTGGTACCCACTGAAGCTGAAGATACACAAACCCTAAGACTCACCAATTCTACTTCTAGGTGCATATCCACCCCCAATTTCTACACGTGTTCACCAAAGGGCTAGTATTGAACTATTTACTGCAGTACTTCTAGAAATAGCTTCCACCTGGAAATAATCCAACTGCCCATCAACAGCAGAATGGACATATAAATATTAGTATATTCACAAAGTAGAATACTACACAACAATGATAACGAATATCTATAACAATTTATAATGTCATGGTTTAATCTCAAAGTATAATGTTCAACCAAAAAAGCCAGATGCAAAGGAATGCATAGCATGTTCCATTAAAAAAATAATTAAGACATGTAAAATGTTTGTATGCTGTTAGAAAGCATACTTGTGATTACCCTTTGAGAGATAATAACTAGAAGGGAGAACAATGTTAACTCCCTGAGTGATGATATTTTGTTCTTGATCTGGGAGCTCACTACATGAGTAGGCGCAACTTATGAACATTTACTAAGATGGACACTTATGATATGTTTACTTCTTTGTATATGTATGTGCTCAGCAAACACATATTTAAGCAAAAATTGGCAGAACTAAAAAGAAATAGTCAAATTCAAAATCATAGTTGGAAATCTCCTACACCTCTCTCAATAATTAATAGACAAAACTATGTTCTAAAGAAACAAAACCTCTGTGTGAATGTAGAAGCTTTGAACAACTTGATTAGGAAATGTAACTTAACTGATGAATATAAAGCACAGCAAGAAAGAATTACAGAATACACCTGTTATTTTTCAAGTACATATCAAACATTAAACAAAAATGGACATAGGCTGAGTCAAAAAGCCAGACTCAACAAAAATATTAATATTTAGATGGGAAAGTGGGATAAAAGTAAAGATCTTACAAATAATAAAATGATATTAGTAAGGGACTACCCACAACTTATGCCAACAAAGTTGAAAAAGTATATTAAATGTTCAAATTCCAAGTGGAACATAACTTTTTAAAACCAGCATAAAAATAAGGAGAAAGTTTGTATCGACCTAGATCTCTTAAATAATATAAATCTGTAATGAGTACTACCATACATATTCAAAAAATCTCTAGAGGTTTAGAGAGTTTCAGGGCTGATTTCTTCTACATGTATAATAAAGAAATAACACAGATTTTATATAACATCTTCCAGAGAACAGAAAAACAATAAATAATTCCCAACTCATTTTATGATGATGGCAGATCTTTGATACCAAAAGCAAGTAACAGTATTGACCAGAATACATCATAAGTAGAGGTGCAGAACCACCTGATTTATGACCGAAGTGATACTATAATACATTGGGTTAAATAGGGTCTTTTCAGTAATTAGGGCTAGATCAATGGGAGCACTTGATCCCCAACCTTACAGTAAACAAAACAATCAATTCCAGATTGATAATAGCTATCAATAAGACATGTAAACTGGTAATACATTCAGAAGCACTTTTTTCTTTTTTTTAATTATGTAATGTTAATCACCATACATCATTAGTTTTTGATGTAGTGTTCCATGATTCATTGTTTGCATATAACACCCAGTGCTCCATGCAGTACATGCCCTCTTTAATACCCATCACCAGGCTAACCCATCCCCCTCCCCCCCTCCCCTCTAGAACGTTTGTTTCTCAGAGTCCATAGTATCTCATGGTTGTCTCCCCCACCGATTCCCCCACCTTCATTTCTCCCTTCCTACCATCTTCTTTTTTTTTTTAACATACAATGTATTATTTGTTTCAGAGGTACAGGTCTGTCATTCAACAGTCTTACACAATTCACAGCGCTCACCATAGCACATACCCTCCCCAATGTCCATCACCCAGCCACACCATCCCTCCCACCCCCCACCACTCCAGCAACCCTCAGTTTGTTTCCTGAGATTCAGAAGCACTTTTTTTTTTTTAAGATTTTATTTATTTATTTGAGAGAGAGAGAGAGTGCGTATACACAGGAGAAGCAGACTCTGCCATGCGTGGAGCCCAACTAGGGGCAATCTTAGGACTCCAAGATCATGACCTGAGCTGAAGTCAGACGCTTTACCAACTGAGCCACCCAGGTTCCCCAGAAGCAAACACTTTTTAAACTGGACCTTGAAGCCTTGTCTTTAGAGGAAAAACTGAGTCTGACTACATTAAAGTAGTAATATTATCTATCAACTTATCATTACAGACTGAAAAATCAAGGCACAATGTTAGAGATAATATTTGTTACACATTTGTTCAAAAAATGATTCATATTTATAATATACAAATAACTACTACAAATCAGTAAGGAAGGACAAGCAATCCAATTTTAAAAAGGGCAGAATATTTGAATAGTCACTTCACAAAATATAGAGGTATCTGTAACATATAGAAAGTGTTCAACTTTATTAGTCATCATGGGAATGGCAATTAAAAGAACAATAAGATACCTTTATATATCTATGAGAATGGAAAAATGGAAAAGTCAGACAAAGCTGTTGACAAGAATGTGGAGCAACTGAGACTCTCATACACTAAGGGTGAGATTAGAAACCGATATAACCACTTTGATAATATCTGTAAAAGATGAACAAACTCACTCAATATGACTCATCAATTCTGACACCAGATTTGGATCCATTAAAAATGCATACATCCGTTCAGCAAAGGTCATCTACCACTATTTCTATCATAGCACAATTCATAATATGCTAAAGCAACACAAATGTACATCTATCATAGAATAAATGAATTATGCAATAAACTTGTAGGAGTTTAACGCTGTAGACAAGTTATTTCAGGCAACAGGAAAAACAGTTCATTTGAGTTAACAGTAAATGCTGTCGAGGCTGACTTATGTGGAATGAATACAGAGGCTGGCAGGGTCTGAACTAACCTGCCAATGAATTTGAACTTTAAAATGAAAGCAGTTTGTCTGATAGCCCCATTTCAGCGGTGCTTATTTAGAGGCTGGGAGAGAAAGGGTTTGGGAAATATAGCAGCTCACAGAAACAACATCTACCACTTATTGGGTGTGGAGGCTTCTGTTTTGGGGGAGTTGGCTGCACAAGTATGTTCAATTTGTGGTAATTGAGCTGTACACTTATGATCTCTACCCTGGTCTGTATGTGTGTTACATTGAAATAAAGAGTATTAAACAAAACATATTAAAAACCAGATGGTGTCTATGAGAGTGGCAAAAAATTATAAAACCAAATAACAGTAAATGTTTGCAAGGATAAGGGTTTGTGGTTGTATCATTCTACCCAATAGATTTTTTCCTGAATATATACTCCAGAAATCTTCCATGCTGGCTACAAAGGGATATGCATGAGGTTGTTCATAATAGCTTTGTTTGCAGTAGGAAGTGTTGGCAACTTACTTGTCTGTAAACAGGGGAATGGATAAATTAAAATACAGTGGATGTACAAGAAGGATTACCAGATAGCACTCAGAAGTAATTAACACACAATAAAATACAGAGTTCTTAAAAGTATGTTAAGTGAAAGAGAAAGAAAGCAAAGGGCAGCTATTTAACAAAATTGTCCCTCAAAAATATCCTTATCATAATCCCTTCAATCTGTAAATATGTTATGTTACATAGCAAAAGAAACTTTGCAAAGATGATTAAGTTAAGAACTTTGACATTGGGATATTATCCCAATTATCTGAGTAGGCAAAATACAATCTTCAAGTCCTTAAAAGTGGAACAAGAAAGTAGAAGCAGAAGTCACAGTGTTACTATATGAGAACTCCACTCACCATTGTTGACTTCGAAGATAGAGGAAGAGGGCCATGAGCCAAGGGATGTAGACAGTGGCTAGAACCTGGAAAAGGCAAGGAACAAAATCTGTTCTTGTTTCTAGTGCCTCCAGAACCAAATACAGCCCTGAAAACACCTTTATTTTAGCTCAGTGGGACCTGTATCAGACTTCTAATCTACAAAAATATAGGATAATAAATTTGTGCTATTTTAACACACTCTTTGTGAGGCTCTGCTACAACAATAGAAAATTAATATATATGTCAAAGATCATGAGGATATAGACAGGATGGGAAAAAACAGAACACTAAACAAAAGATGAAACCTGCACAGATGTTTAGTAAATATGATTTTTTAAAGGATTACATTACTAATCTAATTATTTAAAAGATTAGAATCTTTTAAAGACCCTCACCTAAAAATTCAGAAATTCATTTTTCTTAATGTTATATAGAAAAGGGTTCTTTTTCAAAGCATGAAACTAAAAGGAAATACATTAATCATATTTTCTACCTTTTGAATAGAAATCATATTTCATAAAACAAATGTCAAGAAATATTCATACTGCCATTGAAGGGAACACCAAAGCTCTTGCACAATGTGGGAATTCCTGGAAGTCAGGCAAGGTACAGCTGAGTGGCAATCATTTCTACTTTATATGTGACCAGAGGGGTTCTCATTCTCACTCCCGCTCCCCCATTATATGGGAAAACCTAAAATGTGGTTCTACATTATTATTCTCCCTTCCAGTGATCAGGGGTTACTCTCTCATCTACTTGCCCTGATATATGATTTTTTTTTTACCTGCCATCATTTCTTAGAAAACAACATGAAAAGTAAAAATAAATTTATTTTAATCAGCTATTGCTTTGAGCTAGAACTTTGCTTCTGTTTTTTTCATTTAAGCCTTTCAAAATTCTAATAGGCTTTAAAAAAAAAATCTTCACTTTATTGATGCCAAAAAAGTAACATACTCAAATCATACAGTTATTAAATAATGGAGCCTAGATTTGAAGTTATGTTTGTTCTGATTCTAGACATGGCTCTAAAGCTCTTTTCATTATATAAAATTATATTGACTTTAATTTGCATAGGGCAACATTTCTTTTTCTACCAAGGCAGTGAGTGAAATAGCTATTATCAAGAGTGCTTTGCAAACATATAACAATGATACACACATACTCTCAATTACTTCGAACCAAAATAGGGCTGAAATAAAAATGTTAAGATCAAATAAAAAAATCCCAACCTCTTGTTCATTATATCCCTCAAATTCTTAGAAAAAATATTAATCAGTAAAGACTGTTACAGTGTTTTAGAGTAAAACTAAATAAAAAGTTGATTGCCCCATGATATAATTAAACTCTTTCTCATGCTCTCTAATGGAACAGAGAAGCTAGTTTAAATTGAGATTCCATTTTTGAACTTAAAACTCATAGAAACATAATTTAATAACTGAACCTAGCACCCTTTTTAATATGATTCTCCTCTATACTAAGGGACATTTCTATTGATTCACTCTGTTCAATAACATGGATTCCCCCATTTATAGAACCTTGGTCTCAATGAAGCAAAATCAGACACACAAAATCAATAAGACCCTCTATACGTTATGCAAATTAGTGTAAAACAAAGTTCCATATCATCTCATCATGGTCTCTTAGAAATCTATGCCCAGGGGCACCTGGGTGGCTCAGTTGGTTAAGCGACTGCCTTCGGCTCAGGTCATGATCCTGGAGTCCCTGGATCGAGTCCCGCATCAGGCTCCCCGCTCGGCAGGGAGTCTGCTTCTCCCTCTGACCCTCCTCCCTCTCATGCTCTCTGTCTCTCATTCTCTCTCTCTCAAATAAATAAATAAAATCTTTAAAAAATAAATAAATAAATAAAAATAATAGAAATCTATGCCCAGGCTAAGCTATTTTTTCTACCTAGCTGTTACAGTCCATAAATGGTTTGAGTTTGCTCAGAGAGCTTCCAACCAACGTTAGAAGATTTATTTATTCCAGTAATAAATCTCTCTGTGTTCTGATAGTCATCTCAGGGGTAGTTTGGGTGACTAGTTGTGTATTAACACTTAGGTGGTCACTCACAGTAGCACTGGGAATGTTTCCTGATGTCATTAACATTTGGTCTTTCTATCAAACTCTTCTAACAAATATCTGTTTTAAAACTAAACTGCCAAAACAGAGCCTCTTCTTTTTTTAAATTTTTTATTTAAATTCAATTTAATTAACATATATTGTATTATTAGTTTCAGAGGTACAATTTAGTGATTCATTAGTTGCATACAACACTCAGTGTTCATTACTTCAAGTGGTCTCCTTAATGCCCATTACACAGTTCATCCCCCCACCCATCTACTCTCCAGCAACCCTCAGTTTGTTTCCTATAGTTAAGAGTCTCTTATGGTTTTCCTCCCTCTCTATTTTCATCTTATTTTAATTTTCCTTCCCTTCCCCTATGTTTATCTGTTTTGTTTCATGAATTCCACATATGAGTGAAATAGTATGGTATTTTTCTTTCTGTGACTGACTTATTTTGCTTAGCATAATGCCCTCTAGTTCCAGCCACATTGTTGTAAATGGCAAGATTTCATTCTTTTTGATGGCTGAGTAATATTCCATTGTAGGCATCAGAGAAATATAAATCAAAACCACAATGAAATAGCTAAAATTAACAACTCAGGAAATAACAGACATTGGTGAGGATGCAGAAAAAAGGGAACCCTCTTACATTGTTGGTGGGAATGCAAACTGGTGAAGCCACTCTGGAAAACAATATGGAAGCTCCTCAAAAAGCTCAAAATAGAGCTACCCTATGACCTAGCAATCGCACTACTAGGGATTTACTCCAAAGAAAACAAACATAGTGATTCGAAGGGGCACATGCACCCCAATGTTTACAGTAGCAATGTCCACAATAGCCAAAATATGGAAAGAACCCAGATGTCCACAGACAGATGAATGGATAGAGCATCTTCTCTTGAAAATTGCTCCTCTGGCAAGTCCCATTATGACTTATAGTAATCTCTTTCTGGAGATCACCATTCATTTATCTCCTAGTAAAAGCAGTTCACTTGTGTAGCATCTATTAACATCATACTTGTTTCTGCAAAGTTATCAAAGCATGAAAGTAGAATGCTAATAATGCCATTACTGCTTTTCTTTGTTCTCTTAATCTTTATTTTTAATTTTTCTAATTAATTGAAAACTGAACGTATACAAAAAATATATAATGATGACTAAGCTGTGGTAACTGTCTTCAAGGAACTCTTAATCACTAAGAGGTGAAAGAAAAACATCCAAGTATTTCATTGCAGTGTGGCAAGGGTTATGATGGAGATGATACAAAATGCTATGAGCATACAAGGCAAAGTACAGAAAAAAAATTACTCTTTGGGAAGGAAGAAGTGGAAAGTCACTGGGGAATGCTTTCATAGAGAAGAAAGTCTTGTAATGAATATATATACCTGGGCTACACAGACTATACCTAACCGTGGGAAATATTCTAGTGCCAAAAGAGATTAAATCCAGAGAAACAGCCTTCTAATAAAAGTTTGTCCTAATTAGGTTTGTGCCTATGAGTGCTATATGTTATACCTTACATTCCTCTAAACATCATCTCATACTGCTCATAATTTAATTTCCACAACTGTGAGCTAGGTAGGGTAAAAATCACTTTACTTCATATATGAAGACTCTGAGGCCCAGAGAGACTAATGACTTGCCCAGAATAAACAGCTACTTAGTGGTATCTCTAATTTTGGGTATTGTTTAAAAAAAAAAAAAGCAACAAAGTATGAAAGAACAGGAGGTAATCATGTTTTCAGTGTAAAGAGCCTGGGAAACAAATTAAGAAAATGTATCAGATTTTTTCGTCCTAAGTATTGAAAACAAATGGGCTAATTTAATCAGAGAGACAATTTCCAGAAAGGCTATTGGGTAGAAAGCTCACAAATTCCTAGGATGAATTTAACCATAAGACCTCAGCGAGAACAGAATTCAAAGAAGCCACAAAGACTAATTGGGAGATATAATGGGGAGTTTCCTCAGGGTGCCACAAGGACTGAGCTCCAACTATTTGCAACCTTGGGTTAGCCCTCTCAAGAGTTCCATTTTCAGGTGTCTTTATTCTCCCGGGCTGGCCTCACTTGGTTCATGTGCCAGAGGACTGCAAATCCTGCAGGGACCTCATGCAGTCCCGAAAAAAAAATAAGTCATTACTAAAAGAAGGGGAAGTAATGCTGGGCAAACAAACAAACACTCGCCTCTATCCCCAAAGAAACCTCCAGCCAGAGGACTGTATAGTTCTGGCACATGGCTTCAACAACTGGTCCTGCAGTTGATGTCCATCTCTCTTCTAATTTCAACACTATTCCATCTTGTTATTTGCAATCTACAGGTGACATGAAAAATGTAATTACCACCCAACATCTGGGATACGATAGTAGTCAAAAGCCCCTCCACCAAAAAAAAGGAATGATACTGTAAGCAGGAATATACTAGTAAATACTTGACCTTTAATTTAGTCAACTGCTCACGAGGTTGTAGTGAATTTTTTTTTTTTTTACTTTCTTTCTTTGCAACATATTTTATATTTAGCTATCCTTTAGCCAGTCTCTTAGTTGGTCAGGTGTTTTTGCACATAGGTCTGACCCAAATATTCATCAAGCCCCAGGGACAGTGCTTGTGATACTACCTACATGAGGTTGTAGTAGTCTCCCAATAATTATATCCATGGGGATTCAAAATACAAAGAGGAGCATAAATAATATCTGGGTTCCAGCTATATCCTCTTACCCTCTGTATCTGGAAGCAATTGTGTTTTCCCTTGACAGTAAAGTTCAGTCACCACTCTCAATGCCTTAACTTCCTTTTGTACACAATGACCAAATGGTAGCCTCAGGTTCCAATCCAGTGGTCACAAGAATGTACCTCCTGGTAGAACCATTCAACCTTCCCTACTAAGACCTCTGACCCAGCAGACACCAAATTCATGAGGACAGGATTAAATATTTAAATTGTGGGTCATTTTGTATAAGTTTGAAAGCATCATCCCATCTCT